GATATGATGATGACTAGGCTTCTATCTAAGATCTATTAATTTGCTTCGTTTAGAGATAGGTACGTATCAAAGCATGTGCGTCGACTGAATAACGGTCGGAAATTGACGATCGGGTTGATCAAAATTTCATGATCTCAATAAAAGCAACAGAAGCCAAATGAATATTTTTTACAAATTTTGTCTGTATGTTTGTTTCAGCATCATGCAAAAACTAATACACGAAATTGGACGACATTCGTTTACGAAAATTTTTTATTATGACTTTAATGAAATTTTGTGAATGTATATTGTCAGCTTCAACTTGAAAGAATACAATAGTTTGTATTCTGATAGATTCTACCAGAGGGAGACTTTGTACAAAAGTCATTTGCTTGGATACCTCTATCCCATTCATGTTTCTACCGTGAAGCAGTTATGTTTGCATGGCTGTGTTTCGGTTTAAATGGTGGGATATGGCAGTGAATTTACGGGGTATAGAGGAATAACACCTGAGTTCTCAAAAATGGCAACGCATGGAGAGTAACATGGGTGAAACAGTATACTCTGTTATGTCCATGGCACTGCTCATGTCTATAGGCGACAGTTACCAGTTTGCATCAGGTGGGCCGTCAGCTTGTTCGTCATTCTAAATTGCATAAAAAAAGGTGACCTTTGTAGAGCGAAACGATGTTTTCCGAGTCAGTTGTAAACAATAACTTGTTTTTGTTTATTATGTATTTGCTCTTACAAAATAGCAGCAATACATTCTGCAATTATTAACATACTATGTTAACAAGAGCTAAGTTACAGTTCGCTTTGTGTATTACTATATGCTAAATATACTTTAATTGGTGCTTCTATCGTCTAGTAGTTTGTTATTACACCATTAATCCTTATTAGCTACATACTGACAAGTTTATTGCCGTTGGAATATAGTGTTGCCAGCTTATCGCCGGTCCAAAAGTGCTATGTCGGATGTAGGTAAATTTGTTTGGATAACATGATTGATGTTTCAGATAAAATGGACTATTGCGACAGGTTGTCAAATATTGCTGGAAATTGAAATGAAAAAAAAAAAATTGTAAAAACAAAAGGAATAACTTTCTTTCAAAAAAAAAAACGTTCACGCTCACTTTTTACTTTATCCGAGCAGTAAGTACTTTATATTATTCTCAATTTCGTGTATAATATAGTATATGTCATATATTTGTAAGTATATTTGTTATTTATATATATTTATTCGTTTATATATGTAATTTTAGTATGTATGTATATCAATAATTACTAGTACCGCATTCGAGTATTCTGACACTTTCCTATGGTTGACTGGGAGACAATGCTTTTAGCATTAAGTCCGCCATGTACACATATTTGTACTAATGAATAAATAAATAAATAAATATCTATACATATTTTTATTTATTATTACAAAAATACAGAATTACAGAAAGTATATCTTATCTTGTATGTAATTAGGTATACCGGAATCCATTTGCAAACATCATTCATCATCTTAACTTCGAAAATCAATAATTCAGTTTGATATTACAGGAACGTAATTATTCAAATAACCGAATTACACCAAACTTACAATAATAAATTTGAGTTCAGAACTATTTTAAATTAAATTCTTGATTGTCCGTTATTCTTATTATTTCAGTCATTAGCAGTCGACTGCTAAACATAGGCCTCTTATGGGGATTAGGGAGTTTTGCTAGTAGTAGCCATGCTTGGCAGGCGAATTGGCAACTGCAGTTAAGCTTTGGTGATGTTTTAAGAGAGACGCTGCTGCCCATTCTTCGACTATTAAATTCCCTTAGTCGCCTCTTACGGCACCTACGCGAAAGGAGGAGGTGGCCCATTCTATGCCGGGATTACACGACATGTAACGATATATATTGTATTTATATTTACATTACTGCATGTATTATATTTCCTTACGTATTTAAAAATGACAGAATTTTATGGCCCGTAATATTATTTAAATAATAAATAATTATTTAATTTATTGTAATTATATAAAGGCAGATTTAGAAAATTTTGGTTCAGAAAAGACTCCTCTATTTTACTTGATTTTAGGAGGAAGATTTAAAGAATATTGTTAGGCAGTGTCAAGTTGGCCAATAGAATTAAATTAGTTTTAATTGCTTTATGTCTTCTGCGTATTTCCTATTTTATTTCTTCAAGACTAAAATTTGTTTTCCATTTAAATAATCTCCAAAGTCACTTTCTTTTCTTTTAAATTAAATTTAGTCCTTACTTACACAACATCTATGTTTTTATATATATCTCTATACAAGTTTTTCTGAGCTATTCTAGAAATAAAATCGACTGCCAACGATCTTCTAAACCTTGCCTTAATCACATTATATTAAAATACTTGTTTGTCTACATAAATCTACAGAACTAGTCCCTTACGAGAGCCCATAAAGAACCAGCTATAGCTAACAATCCTATATATACGTCTTATGTTTCAGTTATTTTTTTATATCATGTTTATAAGATATATTTAAAAAAAAAACTAATTTATTGAGTGTTTCGATTTGTTACTAACCACATTTAGAAAATATTTCTGTGCGAATTGCGACAAAACTTGATTACTTTTTCATTACGTTCCACTGCAATTGAGACTGTACTTTACCTACTTACTCCTTTTTATTTAATGATTCTTACCTTCATATTCCATTTTAATCTATTCTACTTTATCATCTATATTAAGTAACCCTTATTATTTCTCATTTTTTTATGCAATTGAGAATGGCAAACAATCTGACGTCCCACCTTATGGTAAATGGTAACCGTTGCCTATAGACACGTGCAATATCATGGACATAACAGAGTATAGTGTTTCACCCATGATACCCCCCCATGCGTTGCTATTCCTGAGGACTCAGGTGTTATAACTCTGTATCCTCTAAATTCATTGCCATATCCCACCCTTCAAACCGAAACACAGTCATGCAAACACAACTGCTTCACAGTTGAATTACGAATGAGACAGAGGTGCCCAAGTAAACGACTTTGTACAAAGTCTCCCTCTGGTGAGATTTCTGTACTTATCACGCTAAAATATACCAACGGTTTTAACAATGTTTACCCGAGTATAAGAAGAGTCTCATCAACAATCTACTATAATCATGAAAACCACGACCACTTTGTCAAGAGTGTGAGATTGAAAAGAGAGAGAGAGTCTATACGAGTATGTATACTGAATACATTATGTTAATTTTTTAAGTGAAACTTAGTATCAATTATTGTTACAAAATCAACAGTCTGTCTTGATAAAGTTACGTGGGCGAAACCGAAACACGGGCCTTAATTAGCTAGCTAAAATTAACCCTTTAAATTTTCTAAAATTATTTTCAGGGTCTTTCATTACTTTTTCTGTTTCAATCATAACATTTGTCTTTATACAGAGTTACGAACTTTCATCTCAATAATCTTCTAATCCCTATATAGGAACTTATATTATTATTTTCTTTGTTTTGAAAACCTCTCCCATGTATGGTCTCGCTCTAATTATAAATTAATCCACGGGCTATATTTGTTTTTTAATCTTCGATAACATATTTCCAATATCTGTATACTTAATAACTTATATACCTATTTATATTATTATTACATGAAATGAGAATATCCGCAAAAGAGTTACAGTAACCGACATAGCCCGAAGGGTAAGCAAACTGAAATGGCAATGGGATGTTCATATAACATAGTTAGAAGAACCGACAACCGATGTGGAAGAAAGGTTCTCTAGTAGCGACCCCATACGGGCAAACGCAATGTAGTACGACACCTTACTAGATGGAGTGACGCTCTCAAAGGCATTGCAGGAGTCAGTGAATGCAAGTGGCTCCAGATCGTGCCTTATGGCAGTCCGTGGGGAAGGCCTATGTTCAGCAGTGGACAGATGATGGCTGAGATGTTGATGATGATTATTATTATTATATTTAATTTTAATGTAATCATAAATCTAGTAACATTGTTTTTAAATGAACAATCTCTCTTGATAGTATTAATTAATAATAGAAACAAGCAACGAGAAGCTGTACCCAATTTGGGCGGGAAAATCTGTAACAGTGGACTAGACTGGTAGTTAGTTAAAATATATTTTTTCTTTTGCTACAATTATTTTTAGACAGTTCATGGAAACAGTGTCTTTCTTATCTTAATCATGTTAATCTGGTGCTTTTCTGGGTAAGCAGAAAATACTAACTAGCGGATTTATAAAATCAAAAACACATTTATAACTCTTTTCGTGTATAATTATAACGTAATACGTCGAACTACCTATTTGATTTTTAATTCATGATAAAGTATAACAGCTAGGGCGGGCAAATCTGTGACAGTGAATTAGACAGTTAGTCACAAGTATTTTTTTTGCCTTTCCATTTATAATTATTAATTCTAGGAATCTTGGAGAAATATTTATTTTCTTAAAGAATTATCCGTATTAATCTTTTTATCAGGTTTTATATGAAGAAAAAATCGCCACATATTTTTTATAGATTTTTTATTTCATGTAATTTATTATATCCTTACATGTATAATTAAAAGTTTATTTATATAATGGTCATAATTATCTTGATAATTGATTTTTAACTGACCTTTAATCTCTGATCTTTTTTATCTCAACGGTTATAAATATACATAACATATTTATAACCACATCTTTTATATACATATCAGATAAGACCAGAGGGAGACTTGGTACAAAAGTCGATTGCTTGGGCACCTCTGTCCCATTCGTGTTTTTACTGTGAAGCAGTTGTGTTTGCATAGCTGTGTTTCAGTTTGAAGGGTGGGATACAGCGTAAATTTACAGGGTACAGAGGAATAACATCTGAATTCTCAGGAATGGCAACGCATGGGGGGTATCATGGGCGAAACAGTATACTCTGTTATGTCCATGGTACTGCTCATGTTTATAGGCGACGGTTACCACTTTCCATTAGGTGGGCCGTCAGCTTGTTTGCCATTCTAAGTTGTATAAAAAAAAAATATTTAAAATATCAATACAATTAATGTAAATACAATCTTAGAATCAATTATAATTTTTCCAAATCAACGATCCGCGTTGAATAGAAATCAAAATTAACTGATATTAATAAGAGAAATAGGCATCGCGTTGCTGTGCGCAGCTTGGGCGGGCGAATCCGTGAATCGGGCTAGATGGTAACCAGCCAGTCTCCCGCGCGCCGCCGAGATCGCCGTTTGTGCGTACGTGCCTCAAATTTGCGCCGCGCGCAACCTTGCCTCGTAATGATGTGTACCGAACTTTCTGAGTGCTTGTGAAACTTTGAAATTTAATTCGATTTGTTTGAGGTGCTACTCGGAATTACGGTGGCAGAGTTTGTTTTGGAGCTTAATTAAACAATTACATCCGGATTCTTGCTCGTTTTGTGTTTGTTGTTCTTGGATGACATATGATGATTTTCCAAGTAAGTTATCGTTGCCACACGAATTTGTGTTTATATTTTCAGAAGAATCACATTTTAAAAATAGATTTCCTAAGTATTCAGAATGTAAAATATATTTTTTACGTATTATAAAAAATTACAAATAAAAAGAAATACACACACATTTATATACACGCAAATTAGTACTTATTGATTACAGGCATGTATTTAGGCCTTTTATTTATACATATATTCTGCGATTATTTTTCTTTTTCAATTTAAAATTTATTTTCAAAATAATTTAATAAATGAATGTTAAGTATGAATTTACATATATGATATACAATTTAGCGCAAATACAAACATTAATAAATATAATAAAAATTATGAGTAAGTATTTATTATATGTTTGCAAGTAATAAACAAAGCAAGTAATTCACATATTGGTCAAGAACTAGTGTTAATATTATTTATCTATATGTGTTTATATGTATTAAAATTATAATTAAAAAAATATCACAAAAAATATTTCTCCAATTTTTATAAAATGTGAAAATACGAGAGTCCTTTAATGGAATACGAGTATACCTATTTAAAAAAATTAAGTAATCTAAATCACATAACTGTGTTACTATGTGCTAAAAGAACAAATTATCTATAACATCAGATCCTTCGAAAGTGGAGTGAAAAAGCACTTAATGAGCCGGCATAGTGTAGCCAACCGTTGAGAGTAGAACCTTCTTTTTCGGTTAATCGTATTCATGGACCATGTTATCTCCTTATTTACTCAATATGGTGTGGTCATATTACCAAATGATGCATCAATTACTATAATTCGTTCTTATGCGTCAGTGCCAATTTTGATTACTCTACGTTTCTCTTTTAGATAGTGTACAGTCTATCTGATTTTTAATTATTTTTATAATATATGATTGAATATATAACATAAAAAAAATATGTAGTTAGAATTAAAGAGTTTTTTCTTTCTTTACTTTTGGCTCATTTGGATTACCAGCAGTTTGAATCTATTAATCAATATTTATTTGTAAATTACATATGACAAAGATCTTAAAATCTATACAAGATATAGCTGACCATATGTAGAGTACAAAATTTAAATTTTAATCAAAACATTCAAATACTCAAATTACACAAAATTTCTCATTCTCTCTCTCTCTGTTTAATATATAATAGTTAATTTTATTATCGTATTTAGTCAAATGCCAAATTAATTAAAAAATTGTATGTAGACATGTGCTGTAATATACTACGTCGTAGTTATTTCAAACTGTAAAGTTTTCTCTATACTATTATTATTATTTTTGTTTTAATAAATGCTTACTAATTCACAGCTCCCTTTGTTTTAAAACACGCAATATTCTCGTTTCTCACTTTGATATACAAAGACGTCCCTTTAGTTTATTTCTGCTCTTTAACATTGTTCCACATTTTATTTTAAGTGAAGGACACCGTGTTGTTATATTGAATGGAATATTTTTACCTTTTTCTGAAAAAATTCTTTATTATACTCAGAAATACACTAATAATAACATTTATTTAAAATAATGTCAGCAAAGGTGAACTTACCTCTAAAAGATGTCTTTTAGACAACCCAACGCAGTGGTATAGGCAGTCTTGAGCGGGCATCGTATTGCAAGAGAGCATTGAAACATATTTAAATACTACTATAAATATACAAAATGTAAATATAGATGAATAAAGTAGTAGTAAAGTAAATAATAATATATACATAAACAAATTTAAACATGCTATACACATAAATATTCAATATATATGACCAAAATGAAGACAGTTTTAATCGTGATACGGTAGAAAGGTAATATGATTTTAACCTTTTTTAAAAAGAGTCAATAAATAGACTACCTAGAATGTATAAAGGAAGTTTAAAATATATATACTTAATAATGCATTGAGAAACAAAAAATAAATTGATAATACTTTAAATTTTTAAGAAACGCGATTTGATATAAATATGTTTGTGTATAAATAAAAATAGGCATGTACTTCTATGACAGTTCGGATGTGTAAAATAGATCTCGGATCTCGGGTTGATGAATCGTATAAATAAAAGTAGGGCCCAAAATAAGTAGAAGTATCAAGCAAAATTAAAGTAACATATTAATATTATATTAGTAATATATTTAGTAAACATAGAAATTAAAGTACTTAATTTTAAATAGACACGTTCTGAAAAGAAAGTAGATTAACGATTAAAGAGAAAGTATCGATTAAAATTTATAGGCTTTTACAATAAGAAAAATTAATTCTATTTAAAAAATAAAGGAGGTATAGAAATAAAATTTTAGATATTCCATATGTAGATAACATCAAGATTGACAAGTAAAAGATGCGTGTAAATTTATTGGTCGTTGAAAAAATACTTTGCTTATAATAGAGATATAAATATAATAAAATTACATCATTCTTAATGTTAAATTGAATCGAAGATATTATTTTAAGAAATATTTTTAAGTTTAATTTTAGACAGAAATTAAAAGGTACCTATGTCAAATACAAAATCTGTTCTTTATAAACGCGTTCGCATAATCTAGATAAGATGCGACAAGATGACAGAATAAAAGAAAAGACAGGAAAAGAAAAAGGAAAAATATCCTTAAATAGCTGTATCAAAGGACCACCTGTTTCATCTCGACGCCAGTCCCAAATAAATCAAACTTTAATGAGGATGCCCAATTTTCTTGTCCGCAAGTTTATCAGTGTACAAAAGCCCTTGATAATAATAAAACGATTGCGTATGTGAATTTCTAGAATATTCGCAGCAGTGAATGGAAATTCTGTGTACATACTAATCACATTCTTCTAATATAATTATAAATGCGATTTTTTTAAATACTTGGATATGTGTTATTCGGTTTTATATGAAATTATTAAATATAAATATAAGTACTAAATCCCTGATTAGTTTTTTTTTAAAATAACAAATTCTGTAATGAAGAAATTAATATCCATTGGGTTCCAAAAGGAATTATCATAATTATTTTAGTATTGGATTAAGGATATTGCATAATATAAGTAAAAAAGAAGACCACAGATAACATAATCTAGTTAATAATTTTCTCAATATTAAAATATATAGTTTAAAAATTAAATTATTTTTAATCTTGCTTTACAGTTCCATGCGATTATCGAATTTTGCATCTCATTTACACGAAACAACGAACCCACGACCACGATAAGGAAGTCGGCCTACTTTAGACGTAATTTTAATTTAATTATTTCAAAATGCGAAGAGATTTTCGTTTGTATTTTTTATGTCTATTTTACGCAATACATTTGTCGATTGCAAACAAATTTAAATTATTATTTTTTAATTAAAAACGTTTACTTCTGGGGATGGCTTCGTACTAATTTGTTTAAATTGAATTTGGTTTTTGTTCACCGTTTGTGTACTTGCCGATTTTAATGATTTATTTTTAATTAACGCTGTTGATTTACTTTCAAGGAAGCTCTGCTATTTATTTGTTAAAAATGTCGGGTTTATTGTCAGGAACAACAATAGTTGAGTACATTTAATAAAGTTTTAATTAGAATGGTATTAAAGAACAGTAATGATTTTATAATTTTTTTAATAAATTTGTACTTTCTATATTTAAAAAAGTATTCTATGTATTCCAATTTCAAGGTATATTTTAGTTACATTTATTATATTAACGACCCTGGAACTGCAACGGGTTACTGGTTTGATCTCTGTACAATATAATTTTTATATTGAAGTTTATACATAATTATAAATTGAACTCTATTTATATATAGAGAGATTACAGTTCTTTTTGTGACATAAAATCTAACAATATACATATTTTTGTTAATAAATATTCCATTTGAAAATATAAAGAAATTTGCATTTAAATTTTAGGCTACATCACATACAGTGAATACAGCATCAAATTGCCTGTACTATACACATGTGGCCATTTAAAGTTTGGCTTGTTCACGAGTGCTTTCAAATAGTCGACAACTCGGAGTGCTAGCTGACTGCGCACAGTTACTGTTGGAATTCATTTAACTATTTGGATATATTTACCTTTAAAAAAGTTATTTACCTTTGAAATAAATAAATAAGCTTACGGCTATAATACCTAATGGGGTATTCAGGGGGAGACGGGTTGTTAGTAATGGGTAAGTTAACTCCTATTTCTAGCAATATACCCTGTAAGGACGACTTCCATGCAGTTCCCTCTGGAAACCATTGTGTTTAAGTCTTGTTGAATCCGTCACAATGGGCTAACTGATCTACTTTCATCCTCGCCTATCACCACTCACTGGTACCCCGCCAACGTATACCGATAACGAAAGTGGGGTTACCATTCCATTATCATCCACTAAGAATGGGATATTCAGAGGCTACTGTATAAAATGCATCATTCTATACACCTACATTTCGCCTACTACAGTAAAATCAATCTAACGTGGTAGTGTGCATGTCTAACGCTGTCATTCGAAAAAAATTTGGTTTGTCGTCGAAATTTTCCATTACCAAAAACTTCTATTAACTTTTAGACTTTTGCGTTGTTGGTCATCATCATCATCATCTCAGCCATTATCTATCCAGTGCTGGACATAGGCCTTCTCTACAGACTATCATGAACGGGGTCGCTACTTAAGAACTTTTATTCTTCATCGGTTGTCAATTCTTTGAGCTATGTATTTAGCCTATTGCCACTTTAACTTACTTATCCTTCGGGCTACGTTGGCAATTTACATTGTTGTTAAACTATGATAATTCACCTGGATTAGATATATTGGATAGTGTACCTAAATAAACTTATTTATAAGAGATGGGAATTAACGTGATTATTTAGGTTATGGTTTACCATAAATCAAAGAGTTACTTGGAAATTTAAATGGACGCCAAAGTTTTTGGTGTCAGTCAAACCAAATTAATGGGCTATGATATTCCCGTGTCTATGTTAAAACAATAGAATGTAACTAGTACCTTTTAAACAAGGTTTGTTTAAAGTATTTAAAAATGTTTTTTAACTATTAAATAATATGGAAAA